TAATTTCTACATCCTCAAGATACACACAAAAAAAATCTGCTTTAAATGTTGCATGATTGCCAAATGAGAGTTCTGCAGGGTAAATATTTCAACCATTTCTAAAATAATTACAAGTAATAGCTGTCCTTGTTTATTTACCCCCTGGAATATTAGTGTTTTCTCAGTAAAACGTACCTACATACCTTATCTAAGAGTTTTGTAGTTTGTGCAATGGAAGGTAACAACTTCAATCAACACAACAAATTTCAAAGACTTTTTAGTTTTTTCACTGAAGAAGAAAATTAGTACATCAACTTAGATCCAGGATTTTTTTTTTTTTTGCATCAAAACATTATTTATAAAATATCTAAGCCTATACCTAAAGTGTGTTTTTATTTAGTCACCAAAAACTTAGGAGTGCAAAGACTCAATGAAAAAAAAAAAGTCCACCGACTGCAACAAGAGGAATGAAAAATGGCAGGGAGCAGGGCAGTGTTGCCAGGTAAGTGTACTTGACTGATAGATCATCAGCAAGCATGAGTGCCTCTTTAAACGCAGAAGTTTTGCCAGTTTGCAACTCAGGAGTGTTCAGGTGTGTAAACACAATGCCCTCGGAGGAAACACATCAGTAACAGATCTTATGGAAGTGGGAGTTGCTGCCTATCAATCTGCAGAGGGTAAAAGGGACATTTTAAAACAATTTAGAGTCTGCCATTCAGCAGCAAAATGGATTATTCACAAGGAAAAAGCACAGAAGAGCACTCAAGTCAGTTACCAGTCGACTGGCAACTGCTGGACCATGACTGCATAGCTATGGTCCAATTGTCTAAGTAAAACAAACGCACAAAAAAACAACTGTAACAGCACAGTTCCACAAATGCTCAACAAGCAAAACTTGTTTGATGTAATCCCAGCTAATATTTTTCAGGTTTGCAACGTTCAGTCACAGCAAATAAAAAGTCTTGTTGAACAATGTTCCCTAGACAGCTGAAACTAATGTCTTGGTTAACAGGAGTAAATAGTGTTGCATTCACACAACCTAATGACAGCTTAGCTCCCCTTCACACTAAAACTCAGTCTCTTCAATAATCCAGGAATTTCCATGACTTCCATTTCCAGCAAATCTGGGAAGCAAAAATCCTTGGAAACATTCGTGAGCATAAAGGCCATTATTAGTTCTGAATATGTGACCATACAATGTTTTCTTGCATCTTTTCACAGTATGGAATATATTTTATATAGCAGAAATGCCTGTGCCATATGAATTTATGTACAATAGCACTTTGAGCCATGCAGACCAGGTCCAAAATCTGTGTGGTTTTAAAGTGACTGGACTCAGACTAACAACCGATCCTTTAACTCTGCCACATGGCAAAGAAAGGACATGTGTAAACATTCAAAAAGTCAAAATTAAAACTTTGTGAATGAGGCACCCCCAATATACCTGACAGAGGACCAAGATTGATCACATGCTGGTTGACTTTTGACATTTCAATCCGGTGTGAGGAGGACATTAAGAAGTTGTGGAGGAGTGAGAATTTCAGCTACACGATGCTGACAGCTTGCACCCACTGAGTCAACTTTTAACTCCTCTGTAGAACAAAGTATTCACCATCAAAGTATGAGAGCATTTTGTTTGACATCTGGTGCTTGTCCTGACTCAGTAATGCCGGAAAAACAGTCACAAATCTACTATTACATAGACAGAAACGTCAATGACGACGAAAAGGTGAAAGGCAAAAAGCTGTCCAAATAAAAGAGAAATATTACCACGCAGAGTCTTTTCTTTGACTTAAACATAGGGCATATTTGTTCTAACATTGCCTATATGCATGAATGACAAGTAAAACAACAGCATTGTAGGAAGATGAAGACCATGTCAAGTCACAGAAAGCGATCTGGCTTCAAACAAACTACGAGACAAAGCTTCAGGAGCTTCCCCAATCAGCCAAGTCAGTGGCCAATCAGCCTGCCAGGCCTCTCTTTGCTCCGAGTGATGCTGGCAGCGAGAACCGGCCAAGCACAGAAACAGAGATAGAAATGAGAGACAGACAAGAGGAGAATGATAGGGGGAGTTTTCATTACAAAAAACACTTATCCTCCTTCTCTTCACTCTCTGGATCTGGTTTAATCTCACCACAGTGAGATACTACAGGTAAAAGTGACAGATATAGATGACTGTATTTCAGCCTGACTGCACAATTACTCTCGATTTTATTATTGTGACTGACAGCAACATATTTGTGGGAGGAGATACAAAGCAATGCATCAGCTCTTCACTAGCGCTGACTTAATGTGGGTGTAGGTGGGTGGCTGCTATCTGAAATTACAGGAAGATTAAAAAGAAAGGTTGTGGGACTCTTGCCCATCTTTCCATTATACAAACGCACGATGACGGGAAAAATCGGCTCCCCATCAAGATGATCGGGTCCCCCTCTTAATGAGGAGGTCGCTCTGCTTGTGGCTCGCGCCAAACAAGCAGGCCGGAGATCGTGACGTACACAGATGTGTGTATCGTTTCGCCGCTCTGACAGGACAAATGACAGACTTCCAATATTTCTTATGAAGAATGTTTTTCTCCTCAGGATTGAACAGGTGATCCTATGTAATCATCACAAAGCAGTTCTCTGACAGGCTGCCTTTCACCAGACCCCAAATGTAATTTTTTTTATTTCTCTTTTAGAGGGGGTGACAGGGGCGGGGGGGCAAAACTGTCAGATGAGTCACCACTCTACACCACAAATAGGTCCTTCCAAAACGTCTGCGTGTTAGTCAGTGTTTTCATTGTTTCCCCCCGCCCTTCTCCCCCGAGTATGCCCACGTCCGTCCAGTTTTACTTTTATGTGCACCACTTTCACTGCTGTGCTTCAACTGACCTACCCTATGTCATACAACGTTCGAATCACCACAACAGAACTGGTGCTGGTGTCAAGTTTGAGCCTAAGGTCTTCAGAAATGACAGGATGCTAGTAAGTCTGAGCAGTTTTTGATTGCATGTTCAAAGAGGTGCTGTGTGTTGATGTACCTGTTGCAGCGAGCTGGCTCATTTACATATCTGCATCAGCTCCTGTTTGGGAAGTGCTTTTTTTTTTTACTCTGCATGTTTAGGATGTTAGAATGCAGAGGAAACAGGATATGTTATTAGACTTCTATGTAACAGAGCTCTTACTTTGGGATTTTAATAATCATCAAGGAGTTTCATATCAAAATAATTATCTAGATATTTATGAAAAATATGTATAAAAGAGAATTAAATAGTAGCTTTACTATAATAAACAGAAGTCAGGTCTGTATTAAACACTTCCCCAATAAATATGTGAATGCGAACTGTCACTTAGCATACAATACAAATTTAGCTGCCAGAACATCTGTCACATTTTTGTTAAAGGCAAAATGAAGTTTTTGAGTATGTTATTTTCAATATTCATTTGCTTAACTTTGCAAAAAAATAAAAATAAATTCTGACCAACTAATGAACATTTTTCCACTTTGCCATTTCATTCTTTTGCAGTTTTGGTCATTTTGTTTTAAGGCTGTGTCAATATATTTTGAAACTGGTTTGAAAACCAAACTTTAAATTTTGTTCTGCTCTTACTTATTTATTAATTCATTCATTCATTATTAATGTTTCTGTTCAAGGTGAGATGTAATATCCTTCAGCTTTCCTAAGCAGGAATAATAGGGCTATTCTTGGAGAAATATGTCAGATTCCATTTAATGCCATCTGTCCCATTTGTTTATGTGTGGAGCCACTGGTTGGTGTCCACCTAAAGAAAGACCAATCATCCAAATTGGGTCATGAAGTCATTTCATGACTTATAGGGCATACAATAACTACATTTTTCCTGAGTGGGCAACGTGGCCCCGTCTAACTTCTTCCATGTTATATAGTTTGTAAAAATAACATGCAATTATTAACCTATTTTACTGCTCTCCAAAGAAAAGTGCAGCATTAAACCATCACCGAAAACATTACTGATATAGGAAGCATGGATTAATTACTAGTGATTTATTATATTGCTTTTGTGTGCAGTGATATTTTCATCATGTAAAATTTCCAATGTATTGTGCAGACCTATACGTCAAAATGCACTATAGTTTGTTTTGTTTGCACAGCTTAAGAAAGAAAAAACAAAAGCTGTCCTTCGAGTCTCAGACAAGCTTGGGCTGAGAAAGACTGATGATTTTTGTAAGTGAATTAAGCCAAATGAACGAGGCTCCACAAAGAGCCGTTTTCCTCCTCATTGTCACAGACTCGAGCTTTTACTGTGAAATCCCGGAGAGGCAAGGTCATTGTGGGGAAACTTGATATTTGTTCAGCCAAAAAGCAACCACGTGGCAGAGTAAACAGCTTGTTTTGTGCTTTTCTCCGGGCGGATCTCCACGCTCCGCTTTATAATCTCTCATGGCCCTGGGACCTGGGAAAGCCACCGTCTCCCGACACGCACTGACTGCAGACAGGAGTCCAAAATACATCCCCGCGCGCTGCTGGGCTCAGCGCCTCCTTCTGTCACGCAAATGTATCCACACACGCGCGCGCACACGAGCCTACACCAAAAGTAGTACACAAGCCTTCAAAAACTTCCCCAACACACGCTAGATGTTGAACTTTCCTCCTGCTTTACGCGTTTTCCTCACGCTCTCCAATACGCAGGCAGGCGCGCAGCAGCGGTCCTGTCGGCTGCCCATCGTGCGGGGAAGTCTGAACAAACTGCAGTGCGGCAGCGATTCGCTATTTTAAGAATAATTTTTACATGAAGTGAATACATTTTTAATCTCCTCTCCAGCCCGACGCTGCCTGAGCGGATAAAGGACAGCGGGCGGCCAAGTTTTACAGACACAATCGAGACGCATCTGCCTCTCAACTGAGACCTAAATAATAATAATAATAATATAATAAATAATAATAATAATAATATAAATAAACAGACATTTCGAAAAAAAAAAAAACTCATAGCACACGCTCACACTCAAACAGCCAAACCTTTACAAGCAAGAAAAACAAACGGTCTCGGTCTTACCTCGCCGGAACATGTTGACAGCGGCTGTTAGGACGTCTATTGAAGTATCATCCTTCAGCTCAGTGTTTGGGTTTCCTTTGGCCGCTCGCAGGCAGAGTGGAACCAGAGTGGACTCTTGTCCCCTCGGTGGCTGCTTTTAAGCAAGTGGAGGCGATTGGTGGTGGAAGCAAAGAACAAGAACTGGAGCTGAGTAAATGAGTCAAAATCGAGGACAAAAAAATAAATCTTCTGCAGTTCTTTTGGAGTAATTAAGCGGCGGGGTGGGGAAAACACCTGCTCCCGTCCCGACACTCTCTCAAATAACATTTAAAATCACCGCCATCTGCTGTTTATGAATAACTAAAACACATTCTGACTTTGTTTAGAGCTCAGAGTTAAAACGATGCTGTCCAGGAAGGACTTTAAAGAGAATATCCCCTTCGAAAGGAAAGAAAAACAGGATAAAAGTTCTTATTGCGTCTTTCTCCTCCTCGTCCTCCCGTCGGGTTTTCAGCTGCAGGTCTGGAAGAGTCCAACAACGTGCTGCGTGAGTCAGTGCCGTCTTCAGGCCCCCTCCCTCTGCGAGATGTGGCTGATGGACGCCTGAGCGTCACTCTCCTCTTTCCGCCGTCGCTAAATACAAACAGGCTCTGCTGTGGATGACAGGAAAGAAGCGTGTATGGTCATGGAGCAATTATATAACTGCTCTGACACTAAAATCAGAGTTTTAATTTTATTTTCTGCGCTTTTTTTCTTCCACTTATGTTAGTAGAACTTGAACAATACAACCCCACTGAATTTATCCAACAAAATCTGACACATATGAATCTTCATACCTTGGAGTCACCAAACAGGATATGAGCTGCTCCACAAGACCAGTTAAGATATGACCCAGAAAGCATCATGTCAAGCGAACATTAACCTTCTAACAGGAGCAATATTTCTTTAAAAAAAAAAAGAAATACTAACATTTATTTACAGAGGCATTAGCATTTTGCTAACCAGAGCATCATATAAACCACAGCATCATAAATGATTATCAGCAGCAGTATTTGCAGAAAAGAGCATTACTGTAGCTAAAACTGATCAAACACACAGGAACAGAAGCTACAGCTTACCTGCCAGCTGGAGAAGCTGCATTGTGATTCAAGATTGACAATCTGGTCAAAGCTTTCCCCTACTTTGGTGAAATTTCTAGCTCCCCAAAGATTTGGATTTCACTGACGGTAATTGGCCAAATGTTTGATTGCTACGGAAAAATAATAGACTCACTTAGCTATTTATTGTCACTTCTGGACGATAGTCAGCAGACAAAGTTTGTCAGAGGAAATTCACTGTTAAATGAGTCAGTTGGTGAAAATGTATAAATCATTCAGATTACATTTAGGCACAAACTATGAAGGAAAACTGGCATTGTTTTTAATCATTTCCATCATTTTTAGACCCCTCATCCACATCTAGCTCCCTGTATGAATCAACACACCTGAACCAGAAAATTAGGTCATTAGCATACGCTGTAGAAAAGAGGTAATTCAGTCATCAGATTCAGGTGTGTTGGACCAGGAACAAATCTAAAAGTTGCAAGACATCAGCCCTGAAGGACTTTCACACCACAGGTCTAGATTGATGCCCATGTCCTGACAGATGTGTGTTGGTGCCATGATCTTCCCATTTTTAGATGATAAAAATGCTTCTTGGGATATTGTTTTATAACCCATCACATCTTTAACCCTCCCATTACATCCCCCTCAGCTTTCTAGCGGTTTGTTTGCTTATGTTCTTTAAAAAAAAACCTCTGAGGCATTCACAGATTATCTGAACAGAGAATAAATTACACAGCAGACTCTGTTCATTATCCACTTGACCTCTAAAGGTAATGGATTTTATCTATGTGTAAACAGGAGAGAGTGGAATACAACCGCACTCCCAACTTTACAGGCTATCTCATATTTTAGTAAAACCAAAGTGAAATTCAGCATCACAGTTATGTCTTGTGTCTATCATTAAATACATGACAAAATGTGATAGGGATCAAGTTGGGTTTAAGACTTTTGCAAGGAAATATTTATATTTTCCTCTTTTTTTTTCTTAGAAGATGGGGAAGGACTGTTACTGATATCATTAAAGGTGTGTTAGCTGGTCCATTATGACTTAAAAGCCACCTGCTGTTGTGGAGAATTGGATGATCAAACTGGGGACGTTTAATTAAACCATGGGGGAAGTCGGCAGCATCAAGCAAAGCTTTTATCTATGCAGGACTTTATTCCTCTGGGACTACAGCAGATTCAAACTTGACAAAAAATCTGGTGCTGGTTGAACATTGGTGTATTTTTTTAAATCATATGTCAGTCATAAATATAACATTAATTATGTTATCTTAGAAAAGTAAATGATCAGGAATTAAGAGTTTTAATGAGGATTGTGAAGTGAAATTATGGGAAAATCATGGCTAATCAGTCTACACCAAACTTTAGTTTGCTTCTCAAAAAAATGAACTATAGTTTACGTGTAACAGATGTTTTTAAGATTTTAGCTTCATGCCAGCAGTAAACCAGCCTATCCATCAGACCTATTGTTAGTGATGAAGCAAAAAAGGCATGAAATCAGTTCTTGTTCAGCAAAATTTACAAAAATGAAACATAAAAATAAAAACAACCTATTGTTAACTCTCCTAAATTTTTGAAAGGATAAATTAATCTCGTCAAAATCCATCAAGCTAGTGAAGATTAGAAAAAAACTTTGAAAAAATGCTATTATTTTGCACCATTCGGGCCTCGACTGCATGATGCATGGATGTATAGAGCTGATCTTTCACCTTCTCTTTCAATTATCATTCAGTGTCATATCATTATCACATGACATTAAACCCACCTGGATACCTAAATGGATGTAGATTTAAAATGAACATAAATCCTGTTGGTGTATGAAGCAAAATACCAGAAAAAAACAGCAAGAGCTGAAAAATGAAAGATGATTGTCAAACAATCATTTAGCATAAATCACTTCATTAATTAATAAATGATTAGCGTATGAAATGGCATTGTTAACATAAGAGCTTTAATTGGTGTTTTGTAAATGTGCACTGGGCCAAGTCCTTCTTCAATACGCACACTGGTTTTCCATTACCCTGACTGATAAGACCTCCAGTCAGGTGTAGGTTGCATGCAGCTCAAAGATTTAGTAAGGATTAATACTGCTCTCGTGGGATTTGCTGTCTTACATGTGCAGAGTTGATGGGCATCCATCAACTCTGGAGAAAAAGAAATGCAAATATCTGCTAAGGTATGCAACAAAAGCAAATTGAGTGAGGTTGACATCAAAGTCACGACAAGTGGATCATGGCAGTGATGAGATTCCTATGAAAAAGTATCTATCCTATTAAAGGTTTGTTCTATTCTTTTTTTCACACTTGCTTCTTCAGATCAAACACATTTTAATACCAGTCAAAGATCAACTGAGTTAATAGAAAAGGAAGACTTTCATTTGGTTGCGTGACCTTTCTGCCGTCATGGATTTGCGTTAACTGACAGAAAGTCTTTTACGTCACTTGAGAAATTTTGTGGCAACTTTTACTTTGCAGAATTATTTTCTGAATTTTGTGGTAGAAAAGAGATTTTCCTCAACTTCCCATCAATTATGACAAATTCCTCAAGTCCCAAAGCAGCAAAGCGTCCCCAGACATTCTTACTTCTTGAGGTCTTTGGGTTTACTTCATCTTGTTATACAGGTTCTGTTTGGATCACTTTCCATCCTATATGTGACAATAATCAGTTTCAGGTGATTCAAGACCATTTGAATTCACGATTGTAAAAAGTGTTGGTAATTACAATTAATTACTTTTTTTAACAAATGAGGCAACTTTTGCCGATGTTGGTTTTGATAGCTGATACTATCTTTGTCTATAATTAAAATGACTTTGATCAAATTGATGAAAAGGCCAAAAAAAAGACCAGGGTAAACAACTATTCACACACAATGATACACACTGCTTAGCAATTACGCAATGATACAACTGTTATTCTTTACATCTGCTCTTTGAGCTTCTTGTTTTCCAACTCTGATGCTCTTTGAATTCTGCCTCTTTTACTCACATAAATATTCTAACGGTTTTCATAACAGAAATGTGATTTCTTACCAAAACAGATGGATCTTTAGAATCCAAACCCAACAGACAGTAAATCATAAACCCGCAGACTGTAGAAAGTAAAAGAAAATCCTAACCCAGTCACAACAAAACGCCATCTGTGCCCGAATGCAAAAGACAAATGTTAATTCCTCTCTGATCTGTGGAAAAAAAACGAACACTTCAGTGACATTGTATCAGCCCATTTCATCAGAATTCATTTAAATTTCATATAGTTTTGAATAAATGCCCCATAGCTAAAGCAGCTTTGAGTGGACAAATAAACCACTTCAATCAACAAGGAAATAACTGTTGCAGGAGCAAATAATACTTGCAAATTAGCTGCTTTGGAGCACAACCATGTTTTGTTTTCATTTGAGTTGCAGAATAAATTGATTAATGTTGGTGAGCAGCCGTAAACTTTGGGGAAATTAATCTCAAGTTCAAGTTAAGAGGGCCTCATACTGTGAACTTGAAATATCACAAATATTTATAATTTAACAAGAGATATAAATTTTCTCTTGTGTTTTAATTCTCCAGTGCAGCCGTCAGTCCACAAATCTCATTAAGCCTGAGGCTTTCTTTGTTTTATAGCATTTATTATTTGTTGTTTTCTTCTACTTTTAGATGGAAAACTATCGGTAATGGCAACCCACAGCAACTGATTAATGCTTCAAAAATGTTTTAAAACCCTTAGGTAAATACATCAATCTGTGTAAGACATGAGGATTTTATTTTCACAACGATATAGGGAGACAAATATGGTTCATATAAAATAAAGCCACTTTACTTTGTAATTATGAAACATCTCTTCAGTGTTTCCAACAACTTAAAGAGTACTGGACTGTAGAGGATCATACTTTTTAATCCCAAAGGAAAATTAAATGTTGTTGTAACTCATTAGTTTAGATTAATCAAAGAGTTATTGAGGAGAGTGACAGAAAATATCTCCTGCAGCAGTCTGTATGCATACTCTATATCTAGGTATACTTGATGTTAAAAGGAATTGATTCCCGTTTTTTGATGGGATCACAGATATTAAATATTTGCATGCAGCAGTGGCCCCTCACTCCCACAAATACTGGGGGTCCATTTTAGCGACAAAAGTCCAGAACTGTCACAACCATAGAAGAGCAATCTGGCAGGGAGTGTTAGTTTGACTGGTCTTCACCTCCTGAGGAAACCTGATGAGCTGATGAATTGCAGCTGGGGGGTTAGCCCAGCAGGAATGGATCCGACCTTGGAACCGTGATACAATGAGTGAAGATGGGAGAGATCGGAGAGAGACAGAGTAAAGATGCCAACATTTCTCGAGTTATGAATACATCGATTTTTTTCCCCCTAGTGAGATGTGATCTATTGTAGGTTTTTCATACTTGTCTTATCTTTTTCACATTTTATAAGGTATTATGTAGGAATAGAT